GGAGGGAGGAAGGAAGGAAGGAAGGAAAGCAGAGGAATGAAGGAAGGCAAGCAAAGTGGAGGGGGGGAGGGAGGAAGGAAGGAAGGAAGGAAGGAAGGAAGGAAGGAAGGAAGGAAGGAAGGAAGGAAGTCAACCAGCATGATTTGCTGGAGGTAATGTGACAGTCCCATAGTTCTGTGGAACACTGGCTTGAAAAAGACTGCCTGGACAGTATTTGGTTTAGGAGGCAGAACTTTCCATCTGCATTTCCCCCATTGCCAGTTCCAATCATCTTTCAGACATTTAAGATTTAGACAATAGTTCTTTTAGGGTTGATGCATTATTTGGTGTTTTAAAAAAATCAACTGGCTCTCTTACTTGGCTTGGGGGAGTTGTCTTTCAGTAAGCTGTTTTCCTCTTTTCTTTTTTCTTTTAAAAAAACGCGTATTTCAGCTGTGAAAGAGGCAGCCATTCAGCGAAAGCACAACTTGTACCGTGACAGCATTGTGATGCATAACAGTGATCCCAACCTCCACCTGCTTGACGAGGAGACGCCCATCAACTGGGGAGAGGAATATGGTGGTGAATCAGACTCGGACCCATCGGATGAGAAGCAGCACCGGGCCAGACAAGTTGTCTCAGTGATCCACACGGACGAAAGTGCTCTGCCCTATGAAGTTACGTCCTTGGAAGAGTCTTCAGATGCTCCAGAATCAGAGGGGTCAGATTGCTGTTCTGTTCCTCCGACACAGGATCCCTCTGACCCTGTGAAGGAGCTCCGTACGTTGCTGGTGAAAGAGATCGAGATCCCAGCCGTGGATGGCGATAGGGCTGAGGAACAGTTGCACAATGGTACTATTACCCAAGAGAGCGCAGGAGCCCCAGAGCACAGGGAGGAGAAAGAGGAGACCGCCCAAGCAGAGGATGGCTGTCCCACAGAATCCTCCACGGAGCTCAGTGGAGAGAAACAGGAAGCTCCAGCCCCCTCACCAGCTGCCCCCACACAATTGCCTTCCCCAGCTCCAGATGGAGGAGCCCCAGCCGAATGCTCGGAGCCCAGCAATAAAGAGACAGGCGAGGAAGAGGTGTCCGCCCAAGCCAGCCAGGCAGAAACAGAACCCCCGCTGGAGAACAGCCACGGGGTCACAGATGAAAGCGAAGGGGTGCAGACTCAGTTCTAGACCCGCCCCCCTTGTAAGAGGATTCCTCGTGGCCAGATGAACACCGAAGGGAGACCAGAGTTGGGGACCCTGTGAGACTGGGGAATGGCAGAGGCAAGTTGATCCAAGAGCATCCTAGGCTGGTTTAGGAGCATCTTTAGCTTTAGATGCACTCGATTCTTCTGGAGAAGTTCTGCCTTTGGGGGGTGGGTGGGAAGGGAAGGAATTGCAGTGGAGGAACCCCAGAACCCCAGAATTCATGTTCTACATCTCACTGCCTCTTGGGTCCAGGGTGATTTTTCTTGTCTTGAACTGGGGTGTTTTCCCCCACTACTTCTTCCGACTTTGGCCTACTCAAAGTTGGATTGTTATGATCAGATGTTACTGAGAAGGGACTTAATCTTAGATGCTAACAAATGCCTGGAGCATTGGAACAGAGAGAAGCCATTGGGTTTCCCCGTCTTGATCCAGACTGGTACTAATTTGACTTTTTGTCCCATAATTTGGTTTGATGCATCACCCCTTTGCCTTGCTCCCACCTTTGATGAAAGAGGGCTCTTTCTCCTGGGGGGGGGGGGGTCACCTCTTTCCCTCACCATTTTTCACTTTTTGCATTGGTTATCTCTTAATTTGCCCTTCCCAGGGCCAATGCAGAGTTGTTCCAGTCTCATATTCCAGATGATTTTAGCAAATCATCCCAGGGTTGCTGAGGAAGGCGGTGAAATTGCATTCTTCCCCCACCTCCATCCCTGTCCAAAAGTAGGCAGAGATGGAGACCCCTGGCTCTAGGA